CTCTTGGCCAGGAAAACAAGTTTAACCATGATGACAGGAAGCAATTCGTGTCATTCAGATAAAAATCTTTTCTAGTGTTCATTTCAAATTTGTTTCAGTGCTTCAAGTTACACTGGTTCCGGAGCAAATTCACGGGGAAAGACATACAAGAATACTCTTACCAAATCAAAACTGTTATGAAGTAAGGCACATTTGTATCACACGCTAAATCCAGTTGGATTATGTGTTAACTAAAGATCGAATTGACAAAAAACAGGAAAAGCACTCGATAGGTCAAACTTATATTTTTACATCTTCTTAAACGATAGTTTTATTTAATAGACCTATCGAGTTTCTAGGAAACCTAATTTGTAGTTAGCGTTGTGTCTACATTAACGCGATTCTAATGAGTTCCTGCAATTCAAGAGTTTGGTCAAGCATTGGACAAATACAGTTTCAGCGCCTTTTTAATTAGTCCTATCATAGTGATGCAATAATATCAAACAAAGCATCATTCAATGTAGTACATGGAATCATCGCCTGAATCGACTCCCCGCACCCACCTATTGTCAAGCACAATTCGACTAGTGTGATATTGTCCAGCGTTGAATACTTATCATGGATGCACACTGGAATTTGAACAGAAGTGAACATAGCGTGATCAAACAATAGTTTATGACACGTAAATCAGATTGCAAAAGAACTGTGCTCACTTATTCAAGATTCTTCCATCAGTACGTAGGCTTTGACCTTCGTTGTCGTAGTATGCACTAGACGATTAACGTGGCCCGACATATTTCTTCTACAATGGGTTTGCGACAGCCCTTCTGGAAGTTTTGTTTCCATAGGGACGTGATGGTTCCGTACGGTGGTTTGCTGGCAGACAGATATTCTACCTTCATTTCTACACCGTCAGCCTACTGATCATGTGACAAATTAGTTATACTAAGCACATCATCACCAGCAATCATGAGCACATCCAGTGTCATATAGTTAGTTGATTCTAAGTACAAGCACCTGAGCATAGATTCACTGTTTACAGTTGAGTTGATTGAAACTAGCCAGCAACCATGGACACTAATCATCCCGGTGGATGATGATGGATCATGTCGAAATAAAGCCAATGCATTATTCTCACCGCAAAATTCACAAAATTGACACATGTAGAGCAGCAACACTATGGTGAGTCATGTCGGTGTACTGGAACTAATTGTTTTCTTGGATATGAAGTGAGGCAATCAAAAACTGTGTATGGTGCAAGTAAGCTAAAATATTCCTAATTGTTCTCGTTCACAGAAGGTGCATCGTTTCATCACAGTGAGTAAGCTGCACAAGTACAACATAATCAAAACCACTATATTTGCTAAAACAACCAGGGGGACAATTGTGATGTTCACTACAAGCCCAGCTGTTGGAGTTTAATATCATTTGACTTTTTACAATGTGGCAAGATAGCAACCGTCGTGAATGTTTATTGCTGCAGGTATTGAGAAATCATAAATGGTGTTTTTAAGCGACTTATTTTCGATCTTAGTAGGAGAAGCTGTAATGGAATTTTAACATATTACCCCATACGATGACTTCTCTTAAGGATGCGTCATTTCTACTGTGGTCGGTTTTGATTACTCTAAGTTTCAACGGGCGAGTTATAATGAAGAACATTGCGATGGTAGCTTTTTGTTTCTTTTGAGCAGTTGAGGCTTCCTGAAGTGAGTAACCTCAGTTATGAAGCCGATAGATACTTAAGGCGCCTAGCTGACGACAACCACACATTTGGTGATACATTTTGTTCTCGAGTTAACAACTGTTCAGACTATGATCACTGTATCACTGCTGGCCGTCTGTATAAAATGCACACAACAACAGTCTGTATTTCATTTGGGTTACATTTCATCATTCTGTTTGCCAGCAGTAGGTTTACAACATCAAGACTAAGCAGTCGTACGAAGAAGTATTATTGAAAGCTTATTGTATCGTAAACTCGCGGGCTGGCATCTTCAAAATTCAGCTTATAGTTACCAGCACCAAAACTGATGTCCTTCTTTCGACAATTAAACACCATTAATAACTACGAACATTGCTGTTAGATACTGGATGCGTGCACCACTAGCTTTGAACATACTGATCCTAGGATAAAGTCGATGATGCAAAATACTCCAAACGTGCCAGTGCACGATTGATAAGTTCCCCATTGGTCTGTACTCAAGACTACCAATGTTATTAACACCATTTTCAACATGTCCCATCCGGCGGCATGCGTTGACCACAATCTGGGGAGGATGAATGCAAAAACATTTATCGATCAGCTTGATTCAGAGGAACATTGTTGGGGATTTGTATTCTTCAGTCCACCTAACGCAAGAGAGTCATTCTGCTGCGTTTGTGGCAATCTCAGAAACTCTGCCTAGTGAGATTATTGTAGTAGTTAATAAATATTCGCTTCACTGACTTGTGGAAATGATACTAATGGCGAAATGGCGACGTTCAAGAAGCCCATCTGGATTGGTTACTGTTACTGTTAAAGCGCTCATGGTGAAATGGTTATGTTCCAAATGGGTTTTATCTCTGGGGTTTGACTGCACAATCAGAGTTAGTTTGGTCATTATGAAAACCGATGAACCCGATCAATATATTCAGTATGCTAGAAACCGAGAAAATCAGATCAAACGCAATATATACGTTTGTATGCATATAGTTATATGATATGTATATATCATGTATTGTGTGCGTATGGACAATGAACCAGTAATTCCAGGAGTGAATGTTAACAGTACTGAGTGCCGAAAACAAACACTAGTTTATTTTGGGAAATTTTGCACACACTGAAACAAACAGAGCCTTGAGACTGTGACCAGCCAATTTTCATAAAATCGAAAACCAATCTGTTTAGAATGTGAAGTTGTAGTTTTTTGACTTATTAGCCGTGAAGTATCTAGTTTTATTTGACATGCAAGGTGACCAATGATTTGGTTGTCACTATATGGCGTACAAGGGTGAGTTCGCCATCTAATAGGTTTGCTGACTCGTTCCTCTCATGAAACCTCTATTTGAAACAATACTTGAAGGCCTCTGAAAACAGTGTAGCTACGTGAGTTAAATCCAGATTTAATAAATGGTAATATGCTTATCCATCAGTCTGACAATAAGAATACTTTAAAACTGTATATTCACTGACACCATTAGTAATGTAATTATTGGATAATATTGAATGTCCTCGGTTAAAACCACACTTGCATTGAAACAAAAATAGAAAAGTTTATTTCTTGAGCGATTTCATCTGTTATGACAATGGTTTTGCTGTGAATATTTACCTTGAAAGTTGACTAATGTCTTACCCGTAATAGTCAGTACCACAACCGACCTGTTAAAATGGGTTGGTTAAGCGAGTTATCGTGCATATTCACTTGATTCAATCATAAAATGCCTACGTCTGAAACCATTTTGTCACGCCATAACCGAAGCGTATTTCAACTCGAATGTAGCAGATAACACTAATTTAAAATAAATTTTACATCTTCATTACATTGTAATAAGTTTTTATCTATTAACTCCGACAGTGTTCACAATAAAGCCGAATATCTTGTCCACTTAACTGATCGGAATGGTTTTCTTTACTAAAAAGCACGTTTACAGTTAGCTTATGGTTTGAAACATTTTCGTTATTGTTTATCAATCAATTTTTAGAAGATCCGTTATGCCCGCTGTTTAATACACGCATGTATTGCAGTATGTGTTAGTTAGACTAGACAATAAGGTATTGATTCAATCTATTTGCGCGTCTTATTGATTCGTAATAGATTTATATTATCCGCTCGCACAAAGATAGATTGATGCAATTAAGTTACTTTTTTCAAATCACGGGTTGTAACATAATTTAACAAAACGCTAGTAATGTCTGCATACAAACCAGCATTCACTCAAACTCAAAGTTAATAGTGTTTGTGTTAGTTTTTGATCTATAATGTAAGTTTGATGTAAAATATCTATCCATTTTTTTTCACTCACAACAATGGTTGACATGGTGGATTGCAAGGTTTTAATATCGCTTGGAGGCAGCATTTTGGGTATATAACACAACACCAACAGATCAACATGACAGAATTCATCTTAGCGAAACGTGTTCGCATGGAGGTTACGTCAGATTTTATACGTTTTCGTTAAAACGCAGCCTTCCAACGTAATCATTCATTTCTTTTGCAAGATGGTGCAAGCTAGCAATCACATTTTTCCGGAAGTGAAGACGCATAGCTTATTGTGTGTTTGTTAACTCTGTCGAAAAATCAC